CAGTGATGCACCCCATATATGATGGCTGCCCTGTAAGATTATAATAGAGCTCAAAAGTTCCCGTCATCTAGTGACGTCTTGATGGTCTGACCTTGTGTAGGCCCAGGATAGTGTGTTAGTGTGTCCATGCTGGTCATAGTTTTGGTGGGGTTTTTTTTTTTTTTTGAGACAGGGTCTTGCTCTGTTGCCCAGGCTAGAGTGCAGCTGGACAAATACAGCTCACTGCAGACTCGACCTCCTGAGCTCAAGCAATCCTCTCACTTCAGCCTCCTGAACAGCTGGGAGCACAGGTGCGTACCACTATGCCCGGTTAATTTTTATTTTTTATAGAGACAGGGTCTTGCCATGTTGCTCAGGCTGGTCTCGAACTCCTGGGCTCAAGTAGTCTTTCTGCTTTGGCTGCCCAAAGTGCTGGGATTATAGGCATGACTCTCTGTGCCCAGCTTGGTCTTAGGTCTTAGTTTTTTTTAACAAAAATGTTTTAAAAAGTTGAAAAAAATTTAATTTTAAAATAGAATAAAAGCTTATGCAGTAAGGATGTAAAAATTTTTTAATTTTTTTATTTTTTGAGATGGAGTCTCTCACTGTCACTGGAGTGCAATGGTGCTATCTCAGCTCACTGCAGCCTCCGCCTCCCAGGTTCAAGTGATTCTCCTGCCTCAGCCACTTGAGTAGCTGGGATTATGGGTGCCTGTCACCACACGCGGCTAATGTTTTATATTTTTAGTAGAGATGGGGTTTCACTATGTTGGCCAGGCTGGTCCCAAACTCCTGAACTTGCAATCTGCCTGCCTCAGTCTCCCACAGTGCTGGGATTACAGGTGTGAGCCACGGCCCCTGGCAGATATAAAATATCTTTGTATAGCTGTATAATGTATTTTAAGCTGAGGGTTAATACAAAAGAGTTAAAAAAATAAAAGTTTACAAAGTAAAACGTTACAGTAAGTGAAGGTTCATTTATCACTGAAGAAAAAAAATTTGTTTTTTTTTTTTTTTTTTGAGACAGAGTTTCTCTCTGTTGCCCAGGCTGGAGTGCCGTGATGCAATCTCAGCTCACTGCACCCTTCACCTCCCGGGTTCAGGTGATTCACCTGCCTCAGCCTCCTGCATAGCTGGGACTACAGGTACGCACCACCATGCTCAGCTAATTTTTTGTGTTTTCAATAGAGACGGGGTTTCACCATGTTAGCCAGATGGTCTCGATCTCCTGACTTCGTGATCCGCCCTCCTTGGTCTCCTTGCCCGGCTGAAAAATATTTTAAATAAATTTAGTGTGGCCTAAGTACACAGTGTTTATAAAGTCCATAAGAGTCTACAGCAGTGTCCTAGGCTTCACATTCACTCACCACTCACTCGCCGACTCGCCCAGAGAAACTTCCAGTCCTTTATTCATGGTAAGTGTTTATAAGGGTATACTGTTTTTATCATTAATTTATTTAGAGACAGGGTCTTGCTCTGTCACCCAGGCTGGAGTATCATGACATGATGGTACTCACTGCAGCCTTCAACTCTTGGACTCAAGAGATCCTCCCTCCTCAGCTACTCAGGAGTTGAACAGGACTACAGGCGTGCACCACCATGCCCAGCTATTTTAAAATTATTATTATTATTGTACAGATGGGCTTTTGCCATGTTGTCCAAACTTGTCTGCACCTGGGTAAAACTCCTGGGCTCAAGTGATTCTCCTGCTTCAGCCTCCCAAAGTGCTGGGGTTACAAGTGTGAGCCACCATACCTGGCTATACTTTTATTTTTTTATCTTTATTTTTATTTTTTGAGATGGAGTCTCACTCTGTTGCCTAGACTGGAGTGCAGTGGCACAATCTCAGCTCACTGCCACCTCCAACTGCTGGATTTAAGTGATCCTCCTGCCTCAGCTTCTTGAGTAGCTGAAATTATAGGTACCCATCAACATGCCCAACTAATTTTTATTTTTTTGTATTTTTGTAGAGATGGTGTTTCACCATGTTGTCCACGCTGGTCTTGAACTCCTGACCTCAGGTGATTCTCCCACCTCGTGCTCCCAAAGTACTAGGATTACCAGCATGAGCCACTGTGCCCAACCTACTTTTATCTTTTATACTGTATTTTTATTTTCTATGTTGAAATGCACAAGCACTTGCCATTGCATTATAACTGCCTACAGTATTCAGTACAGAAACATGCTGTACAGGTTTGTAGCCCAGGCTAGCCCATCTAGCCCAGGTATGTAGCAGGCTAGCCCAGCTAGGTGTGTGTGAATACACTCTATGATGTTCACACAACCACCAAATCGCCTAATGATGTATTTCTCAGAACATATCCCCTCTCCTTAAGCAACACGTTCACTGTCTAGACCAGAATTAACCAAGCAGAACACCTGCCGTCCGGCACAGGTGAATGAGGGACGCGCCTTCTCTGTGCTTGCACAGTAAGCCAGCCACAGACAGCTCAACACCCCCCACTACCTTTTTCTCCTGCCTCCTGCTCAGGCCCTTCCCCCTCGGCAGGATCCTGGGTCCCAGAAGAAGTTTAAGAGCATGTGGAATTTCTTCTCACCTCTACAGAAAACCAAAAAGCCAGCTGTGGAACCATTTGGAGAGCATGGGAGCCGGCGGCCCCGCCTGCCTGGAAGGGAGATGAGGACTTGAAATCCTGAATCTCTGCTCCAGTGACTCCGAAGAGGGGAATTTAGGAGGTCACTTCCTCTGTCTTGGCATGAAGATGAGAAAGGGTGGAAGTAAGCCTCTGACTCTGCCTGGCTGAGGTTTCCTCATCTCCTGTACCCACCCACCCAGGCCCACATCCTCCCTGCAGATGCTGGGCACTAGGCTGGCAGTTGGAGGGCTGAGTCCCTTCCCTCTCCCTGAGGGACTGTGGGCAGGCCCCTCCGTGGGCCCTGCTGCCGTCTTTACGAAGTCAGGCACTTCATGCCAGTGAGTGCCCCCAACATTGGTTATGAATGACCCACATGGAGCCCAGCCCTGGGCCCAGGCTGCCCAGACCAGCTTCCTTCGCCCTAGGACTCTCTGGGGGCCTGGATGGGACAAGGAGGTAGCTTTGTGAGTCCCCGCCTTTGCCTCAGAGAGTTCGAAGTCAGTCTGACCTGACACACAGCATTAGCTGTGGGTGAGATTCAGGGTCACGTTCCTAGAAGGCGCCCCCCACACCTCCCAAGCTCTGTGCCCCTGAGCCCAGCTTGGTCTCATGATCTCCCCAGCACTCCTAGGCAGATGTCCCTATGTGTAACCTGCTAAAGGCGAAAAGCTGGCCCAGCGACCCCTAAGGATCTATTGTGTAGGAGCTAAAAACCCTCCACACAGACACATGGGTATGTGGCAGAGACACGCATGGGCACATGACCTCAGGTCCGTCGGAGCGGCCTGCAATGGGACACCTGTGGCCCCTCACCCTGGCCAGCCTCTTGGGCAACCCCAAGAACTAGCCAAGGCCAGGTTGGGACTTGGTATGAGAGACCAAGAGAGGCCTAAAGCCCTTGGAGAGCTGTGGTGACAGGAACACAAAACCAGGCAGTGACTCACAGGCACAGATGGTGAGAGCCCCAGGGCTGGATATGGGGCCAGGAGCCCGCTAGCTATAGGTTAAGCAGCTCCAAGAATCCTGACTCTGAAGCCCCCACCTCAAGCCTAGACATTCCCCGAGCCAGGACCCAGACCAGGCCCTCAAAGGAGAGGAACTGGGACTCCCACACCTCCCCACATCACCCCCTAACAAAAGATAAACTTGGCCAGGCAGGTGTGGAACTTTGGGAGGTGGAGGCAGGCGGATCACTTGAAGTCAGGAGTTCAAGATCAGCCTGGCCAATGTAGTGAAACCCTGTATCTACCAAAAATACAAAAATTAGCCAGGCATTGTGTAGGCCCCTGTTATCCCAGCTACTCAGGAGATTGAGGCAGGAGAATCACTTGAACCTGGGAGGTCGAAGTGAGCTGAGATCGAGCCACTGCACTCCAGCCTTGGCGACAGAGCGAGACTACATCTAAAAAAAAAAAAACAAAAGACATCCTCCTAAGAAATGGCCCCCTCCCAGTGTTCCTGAAGGAGTGTCTCCTAGGTCTCCATGCACACAGGGAAACTGAGGCTGGAGGGAAGGGGCTGGCCCAGGTCCCCCACTGCTCACTCACCAGGCTGTGCTGTGCTCTTGGCTCCTCTGATCTACGCCTGAGGCCCCAGACCCCTGTTCCCCAGGGGCAGGTTGGGCGCATTGCCAGCGGCCTGTCCCTGTTCTGGCTTTTCTAAGGAGCCACCATGACCTCTGAGTACACAGAAGTCACACCCTTCTTCCCTGCCTGAGGATGGGCGGGTCTGGGCTGAGGGTACCCGATAGTCTCCCCGGGACATCTGTGGGGCCCCATCAGATCACTGCAGGATCCCAGCCTCACCGAGCAGGGAGGCAGCCCCCAAGGACACAGAGGGCTCCGGGTGGCCTCCAGGCCCCTGTCCTGTCCTCTTGGCCCTGAACCTTAGGAACAACTCCAGGAGAGCCCTGGTGGTAAGAATTGACTGATCTCTCAGCCAACAAGAGGGTCAGCCAGAACTCAGGTGAGGCCCAAAAGAAGGCAGGCAGTGGCCTGGAGGAAAGAAAGGTGCTTTCGGGCCCTCCCTGGTGGGTTTCATAGCAGGCCAGCCATATCCATGGTGACAGGGAAGGCTGGGAGGCTCCCCAGACAGGAGGGTCTGGGAGTCTCTGCCCAGGTTCAGAACCCTCTGGGCTACTTGGAAGCTATTCTGAAATCTGGGAACAGCCCAGATTTCAAAGGCAGGCATGGGAATGGGAATCATGTGACCTTGGCTAAGTCACGTCACCACCCAAGCCTTCGGTTCCTCGTCTGGAAAATAGTGATGGCTCACTAAGCTATGGTGAGAGGTGAATGAGGCAAAGCCAGGTGAGCCCGGCCCCCAGTAAGCTACACAGAGACACCAAGACCCCAGACTGAGGGGCCCATGAGATGGAGCCATGGCTAAGACTCAGATGACCCCCAAGGACCACAGCCCAACCCAGTCACTACAAAGTCCTTTATTAACAAGGCAATAAAAACAGAAGAGAGAGAGATGTCAAAATACTTTTCTTGGAGGCCCCAGGAAGGAGAGGCACTGTCAGGACTCACCTGGCCAGGTAAGGCGACCCCACCAGAGGCAGAATGGAGGTCAGGGCCCTGTCCGGGAGGACAGCTGGCCCAGGAAGGCTGCGGGGAATGGCTCGGGCCCCAGGCAGGGACTGTGCAAACCCTGAGGCCGTGCAGGGAGTGATGGGTTGGGGGCTTAAGCCCCGAGCACCGTGTTCCCCTGCCTGGCAGACCTAATCAGACGAGCAGCTGCCCACTCCACCAGCAAGTACACACAGGTGTCCACATAAGAGCCGGTGCCTGCACACAGCTTACATACAGAGAGCAGAATGAGGGTCCCCCGGCAGGAATGGGGGCTCATTCCAGAGCTTAAGGAAATAGCTTAGAGGAGTCTTTGGAAGCCTGGATCGAGGGGAGAACAGGGAGGCTGCTCTGTTCCCCACCAGTCTCAGGAAGCCAGGCCTTCCTGCCGCCGCTGGAGGACCTCAATGACGCTGCCGATACCATCCTCGGGCACCTGAGGGCAGGAGGGAGGGTCAAGGCCAAAGCTGGGCACCCCCTGACTTCCTGGTCCAACCGAGACTACCTCCTGCCACCCACATTTCTGGGCCTCACTCTCCCCGAAGAAGCTCCCCCATGGTGCTCACCAGGGCATGGTCAAAGTTGAAGGTGCTGATGTAGTAGGCGGAGATGTCCGCAGCAGCCAGGGGAACCGCGATCTGTGCCACGATGCCGCATTCATCTGAGGGTGGCAGAGGAGGGGCACATGTGGCACATGCCAGTTGCTCCCCAGACACTCTCCAACCCCCCAGTGCAGGGAATGGCCCTCACCAAAACCCAGGGGCTGTCCACCGATGCGCACCATCCTCCACAGCTCCCCTGAGGAGCTGGTCAGCAGGAGGTCACTGGGGAACCTGGGAAAAGAGTTGGGTGATGGGCAGGGCACCCCCACCCACCCCTGCCTGACCGTGAGCTCTGGGACAGGCTCACCTGCTGACCTCAGAGTCTGATGCCCCACCTCTTCCCTCTCTGGGGTTGGCTGGGGCCTGTGGCCCACCCAGGGACAAGGGTCACCTACTGTTTCTGTGTCTCAGCATCCATGACAATGGAGATATAACCCTCGATGAGGGAGAAGGCAAAGAACGTGATGGAGCTGGATTCAGGACCGATAGAGGCTGCCTCCTTGGGAGTGCTGGGGAGGGACGGGAGGTTTAGGGGCTCTGCCAGGCACCCAGCCTACTGCCCCCTCGCCCAATCAGCCTCCAGAACCCTGAGAAGGAGCTGACATGGTGGCCCAGGCAGGCCCTCCCATCTCTGCTCACCATCCAAGGGTCCAGCCCTCTGAAAGGTGTGGGTAGGGATGGGGGAGGGTAATAAACCTAGCCTATGCCAAAAACAAAGGACCCCACGGTCAGAGGGACAGACCGGGGCACGGCTCAAGGGTGGCTCTGCCAACACCACTGGAAAGGGATCCAGCTTTGCAGGGAGAACTTCCCCAAACATCAGCGAAGCACAAATGAGTGTCATGGGCTGCCAGGAACCCCAAGAGAGGACAAGGCAGAGTTGCAAAACTGACAAATGGGCAGAAGGCGGTGGGACAGAGTGTGAGGACAAAGACGAAGTCCCAAGGTCCACCTGTGCGAGTAGAAGAGGACATCTATGAGGGTGGTGGCGATGGCTGGCAGCGTCTCAGGGTCCAGTGTGAGGACACAGAAGCGGTTCTGTGGGCTCTGGATGGGATGCACCGTGGGGCTGGGCCCTGCTGGAGGACAGCAGGTGGTGAAAAGGTGTCTGTGGGCTGGGGCTCCCCCTGGTGGCCAGTCAGGGAGAAGCTTGGGCCAGGGGCAGGTCTTGCTATCCAGGAACTGATCTGGGCCCTCCTGCCCCATTGGGGCCCACAAGAGAAGGGCCCCAGTAGGAAAGGGAGGCCCTGCCCAAGTCGAGGTGTCAGGTGGCGGCCCTCACCATGCTGAGTGCGGGGAAAGCCGTTGCTGGAATCGTCCCTGGCCACAGGCATGGGCTCTCCGCCCACTTCGCGGTAAATGTCAAACTCCTGGGCTAGCGTGTGGATCACCACGGACAGGTCCTGCTCCCGCACCTGGGCCACAGCAGATGGCACATCACATGGGCTCTCAGGTACCTATTCCCACCCTGCCCTCATCAGCACCAGCAGGAAACTCACCAGGATGAAGTCAGTCTGGTAAGTGGACAGCATTAGCACAGACACGTGGTGCTCGGCCAGTGGTGCGATGACCGAGCGGGCGATCTTGGTGACCCCAGCAGCCTGCACTGCTGCACCGCTGTGAGACGACACATTCAGCACCAGCCATGTGGCCTCGGCTACTTGCAGAAACTCAGATGGGGGCAGCTCTGTGGGCAGGGGACATGTCTGGTTAGGGTCTGCAAGGCTGACCCCTGCCCCTCTCTGAGCCTCAGTTTCCCTCTCTGTGCCTTGGAGGGCTCCATCAAGGTAAGGGCAGGTCTGGAGGCTGGGGCCGTCTCCCCCCAGTTCTGCTCCTGAGGACCGTATGTGTGCAAAGACAGAAAGATTTCAGGTGCTGGCCTGGTGGCATTGAAATTTCCCACTTAAGATCAGAGGTCCAGATTCAGAGAGACCTGGGTCCAAATCCAAGCTTTGCTATTTATTTGTCTTGTGACCTGGGGCAGGTGATTTGAATCTCAGTTTCCTCATCTGTAAAATGGGACAATATCTACCTCACTCCTGTGTATTCTGTGGGTTAGCAGAAGCTTTATACCACATGGCACCACCAGGGGGCATTCCCAGATCAGGTTGGCTGGGGGACTGCCTTCCCCTTTTGCAGACCCGAAAGACTTCCCTGCATCAAAAACAGGGAAACTAAGGCCTGACGTGGAGCAGGGGGACAGGCCAAGCTCCTGTTAGCTGACCTGAGACTCCAAGCCTGTGAGGATGGGCCGGGCCAGCAGCAGGAGGAGGAGCTAGACGTCACCTCCAGGGCCCAGGGAGGGCCCAGGCTGGCGTCCAGTCCTGAGCAAGGGCCAGGGCCTGGGTGGCTGCTATTCGCCCCAGCACAGCCAGGAGGCCTCGAGGACCCTTTCCTGAGATGGCTGCCTGCTCCTGCATTCCTTCCCTCAGACTCCTGGAGTTCCCAGACAAGCAGGAGAGGAGGTGACCCAAACCAGGGAGATAAGACCAGGAGGAAATAACGCCCAGGGAGTTCTAACAGCAGCACTTGCCTGGAGCCATAACAGAGACCCTTCTGCAGGCTACGACTGCTGAGTGCCCCTCAGTAGTGTTAAGTTTATAAAGCCCTCAGGGATCCTATTTATCAGAATCATAACTGTGCCCATTTTACGTTAGAGGAAACAGCTCAGAGAGGGGAAGTGATTTGCTCAAAGGCACACAGCCAGGGAATGGCGGAGTAGGATTCGAACCCTGACCCATCTGCTTTTAAGGCTTAAGACGAATCTCAGCAACAGGTGAGAACCCTACAGAAGGAGAGCGCGACAAGCCCCTCCCGTACTCCCGTTCCCCAGACCAGCCCCCACCTTTAAAGCCCTCCTCGTCCACCATAAGCGTGTAATCCTCAGGGGTCTCCGTCAGGCTGAAGAACTTGCACCTGGTTGGGGGTGGGGAGCATCTTCAGCTTGGTGTGGAGAACTGGGGGTCGGGAGTGGATTTCTCTCCATCTGCCCCGAGACACCCGCACGACCCCGGGCCCGGCGCCTTCCTACCCCCTCGGCCGTTAATTTCTAGGGCAATGGGGTAAGGGCCCCATCTCCAATGTCGGGAGCTGCTTTTCGGCTTCCCGACCTCTCCAGAGCCTTCCGCCCCTCCACTCTTCAAGGGAGGAGAGGTTCACACCCGCGGCGACAGCCCCATGGGCGTCGGACCTTGGACCCCCTAGTCCAGCCCCTCTGACCTGAAGGGAAGCGTCCTGGAAGGAGCTCCCCGCCGTGGCCAGGTAGGAATGCCCCCATAAGACTCCACTGAGTTAATAAGCATTGCCTATCCCAAGCTGTTTGCGCTTTACCCCGGGGAGGGGGCCTCACAGGGCCGGATAGGCGGCGGTCCCGGGGAGGGTAGGCCCAGGCCGGATGGCGGCCGGAGGGGGAGAGCCCTCCCCACCCGGTCCCGCCCGTCTGCCTGCCTGCCTGCCTTAAGGCGATCCTAATCCTCCGACCCTGGCCCGGAGCGACAGCAGAGCCCCCAGCCCCCATCTGCGCTCCCGAACCCGGGCGCGCACCGGCTGCGGCGGGGCAGGAAGAGCAGCTTGATGAGTGGGTGGGTGTAGAGCCAGAGACCGGGACGGGCGATGCTCAGCACCCGCACCCGGTGCTCTAGGATGTGCAGCTCCATCGCGGCCCGCGCGGACCGGACCCCGCCGCCAACCAGACCCAGGCCGCGAGGGAGGCGGGGCGGCGGGGGTGGTACCAGGGACTTAAAGGAGCCGCTGCTTGGCCGCGTCCACGCCGCCCGCTACGCGGCTGACCCGCCCAGCCCCGAGCGGCGTCCGGCTCCTTGACGGTCACGCCCCGCGGGAAGCGAGGCCTATTGGGTGGTCACGCCTCCTCCTAAAGCCAGATCTTCATCCCTCTCTCCAGCCCAAGGAGACCGCCCCGAATGGCTCCGCCTTTTTTAGCACTGGCTCGGGGATAGACCCCACCCTGTCTGACTCCTCCAGGCCCCGCCCCTGACGCGCCCCCTTCCTGGGCTCCGACCTTTCCGCGGAACGCCAGCCTTGCAGGGAATGGGAGCCTGCCGGAGGCGGGGGACGTTTCTGTCCTTCTGGCACACACGTGGGTTTTATGACTGAGGTCCTTGAGACAGAAGGGCCGCGAGACGAATTGGAGCTCGGCTGGGACCAGAGCGCTGTCCCCAAGCCCCGAGAGCGATGAGAAGCACAGGTCTGCTGTGCGGCGCCGTCTACCCGGCACCTTTCCCTCTCTTTCCTCTCAGGACCGCAAGGGGGCGGGGCCGCCATCACCGGATTGCGATTGATACATACTCCTCCCTGCTTGCCAGGAGGCTGACAAGTTGAAACCTGGCCTGGTGGCCCCACTTGTTCCTCTCACCCAACTTTCAGAATAGAAGGCTCCCCACCGGGTGCACACAGAGATAGAGTCCTAGCCACCTCTGCCCGAGTGACATACTTTGGGTTGGGGGCTAGAGGTGGCCAAGGCCTAAGACTTGAAGTCCCTCGATACAAACAAAACCCAGAAGTGCTTGAGCCAGTAATGCCCAATGCTCGGACTTTGCGGGGGCAGGCCCATGTGGCTGAGGTGCACTGGGTACTCAGACTTCTAGCCTAAAACTTGAGCCCCAAAGCCTGCAGCCCTTAGCTGGCAGGTGCACATCTAAACTTGCTTCATGTTCAAGGAGGTCCCCAGCACTGGCAGACACCCCAGGTCTTATCAGGCCTCCACAGATCTAAGGAGACCCCAGGGCTGAGCAGGCATCAGCTTGTCCATGTTGGCTCCATGCAGGACCAAGAATGCTCCAGGGGACCCTTGTCTGGCCCGAGCACCCTGAGGCCTCAAATGTGAGGCTTTGAACCAAGCAGATTAAAGCAGGCCTCAGGCCTGATTGGGACCCAGCAGGCCTGAGCAGACCCTCTGCCTGCTTTGGAGCCCCCACCATAGGCAAATGGAAGCCAAGCTCAGCCTCCTCCCTGGACTCTCAGGCTTGACACATTCCTGTGGAACACTGTGTAGCCACCACATCCTGGCCTGTCCCTTAGAGGACTAGGGGAAGGAGGAGCTTCTCAAAGGTTGAGCCCATCTCATCAATGGCAGGTGTAGATGGGGTGGGAAACCATAGGGGTGAGGGAGAGGAAGCAGGAAGTGGGGTGGCCTGCCTTGATAGTCTCTTGAGACTCTTCACCTCCCTAGGCCTCAGCATCCCCAGCTGTACTAGGACAGGATGTTCCAGGCCCAGGCAAAGCCTGAAAGCTCCCAGGGAGGCTCTGCTCCTCCCTCTCCTGCCCCCTCCTCCTATGGCCTGGCCTGGCCCAGCTTGGTCATCTGCCAGGAACAGCACTATTGTTTGACTGGAAAAGCTGCTTCCTCAGCAGAAGCGGGGGGCCTTTTTCAGGGACACCCTGTCCTTGCCCTCACCAGTCATCAGGTTGTGACCGAAGTGCCTGCCGGGGCCCTCAAGGGCAGAGTCAGGTCTCCTGGGCCCTGGTCAGGAAAGAAAGCTGAGTGAGGGGCTCGCGGTACAGATCTAGCTGACGCTGGGTGGTTCCTTTCCCACTCAGCTCCTGTTTGTTTCTTTGTCTGCAAAATGGGGCTAATTGAACCTACCTGACCAGTTCAGCCTAGCACATGGCAATTGCTCAGTAAATGGAAGTTGGCATTTTATCAAAGGTCCACACTTTGCCCCTCTCCCCTCTGCCTGAGGGCCTGGGCTGAGCCTGTGAGGACCTTCATGGTGCTCCACCCCAGACCTCTCACCACCCCTTCAGAATGAGCTCTCAGAAAATTACTGGAGCCTGAGGTGGCATCCAGGCCAGACCTTGAAGGAGGAAGGCCCTGAAATATCCTCCTTAGGAGTCCCTGTCCTGCTGGTGGTGGGTGAGGACCAAGGCCTGGGGAGCATGCCCTGCTCTGCCCAGCACTCAGCTCCAGCCCTGGTGTCCCTCATCTATGGCAGAAGGTAGACATGAGGCAGTGGGGATGGGGTGAATGATAATGGGAGTTCATGGCTGAGCTTGGTGGCTCACTCGTGTAATTCCAGCACTTTGGGAGGCTGAGGCAGGCAGATCACGAGGTTAGGAGGATCATGAGGTCAGGAGATCTAGATCATCCTGGCCAACATGGTAAAACCCATCTCTACTAAAATACAAAAAAATTAGCTGGGTGTGGTGGTGGGCACCTTAATCCCAGCTACTCAGGAGGCTGAGGCAGGGGATTCGACTGAACCCGGGAGGTGGAGATTGCAGTAAGCCGAGATTGTGCCACTGCACTCCAGCTTGGGCGACAGAGCAAGATTCCATCTCAAAAAAGAAAAGAAAAGGGGGGTTAAGAATGAAGGCTGGCCAGGGACTCGGCATGTCCTCTGGCAAAGGTACCTCTCAGAGAGGCTCTGGTGCTGGGCTGGGCTCAGGAGGAGGGGCTCTGTAGGGCAAAGAGAAGAGATGCTGAGCACCAAGGTGACCAAGGTGGTGCCCACTTCCCAGCCCCTGGCTGCACACCAGCTCTCTACACAAGGCTGTTTATTTCTGTACAAAACCACGTTTCTATTTTACACAAAGAACACCTCACCCTTTCCCCTCACCCCAGCACCCTAGCCCTGGGGAGCATCCCCCAGGAGGAGGGGGCTGAAGGAGGCCCCAACCCCTGGTCCCTAGCTTCTGCCTGCCCTCACTGTACCAGCCTGAGTGCCACTGTAAAGAAAATAAATAAGGAGGCTCAGGCAGAATCTGCGTTGGACCAGCCAGACTCCAGCCCAGCCCAGTGACCAGGCGGCTTGGCCCTCAGAGGGTGGGCAATGGAACGTCAGTTCATGAGGTGTGTGGAGACCCCGCCCTGGAGGCCTTAGCTGCCAGGGTTACAAGTAGGTGTCCTCACTCTCTTGGGACGTCAGGCTCTCCTGGGAGCGGTGGTGGGCTGAGACCTGGGGAGCTGAATCCTGAGGGGCTGAGGAGGTCTGGGGGGCTGAGTCCTTCAGGGGCACATGCTGTGGGGGATAGGCATCTCCTGCAGCGGCCTCCACCATGGCTTGATCTGGGGCTGGGGGCTCCTCCGGCTGCCCTCTCGCCTTTGTCTGCTTCTGTTGCTCCTTCTGGGCCTGCTTGGATGGCTTGGATTTGGCTTTGGAACCAGGGAAGGGGGCATCTGGGGGGAGGCGGATGGACGGCGAAGGTTGTAGGGTGGGCCGGGGACCGGGTTCTGCGTCCAAAATGGCCTTGGCACCATGCAGCCTGGGTGGGGAGCGGCACTGCAGCTCACCCCGGGTCTCCTGCCAGCGCCGCAGCTGGATGAGGTGTTCACGCTCAATCTGGCGCTCTGTCACGGGCAACTCCACCACCTGCGGGGGCAGTGAGAGGCAAGTGGGCACCAAGAAGAAGGACCTTCCCCTTCTGCCTCCCAGCCTGGGCCCCCAGTCTCCCTCAGCATCCCCCAGCCCTGGCCACTAAACACTGACCCCAGGAAGGATGAGAGTCTAGTCCCAAGCTGCAGTCACAAGCCCCAGAGCTGAGTGCCAGGTGAGCTGGACACTTGAGATCCACCGCCTCAGAGGGGAAAACTGCCCACAGCTTTACAAGTCTACCTGCCCTACTATGGGGCCAAAGGGATGAGACCCTGACAGCGAAAAACCTGCTCTCTGCCAGTGTGTCCCCCACCACTGCCTAGGGCAGCCTGGCTGCTTAGGCTGAAATTCCAGCTCCACCACCTTCTGGCTAGGTGACTTTAGGGGGAGCTGCTTAGTGATCCTGCCTCTGTGAGCCTCCATTTCCTCACGTGTAAATGTGCCCATGCACGTGCCACCTAATTATAGCCCCTGAGAGACAAGTATCCATAAAGAAAGCAGCAAGGGAAATAGAGCTAAGACTGAATTGGGTGCCAGGGAGAAAGTAGGGGTGTGGGTTGCCACTCCTCTTCATTCCCAAGCAGCTCAGATCCAGAAGGCCCTGTAGAGCTAGGCCTCTCTGTGCCCCATGCTCCTCACCAGACAGAAGGATGAGGTCCACCCACACGTTCTGGGCCACATAGCAATGGCCCTGGCATAGGTGACCCATCCTCAGGAGCTGATGGTTAGTGGGACCCCCTTCAAAGGACTCCCCACCTGTCTTCCTCCCTCCCTGTGACAAGGAGCAGGCATGGGCTGTACCTCTTGGACCAGGAAGGCCTCCTGCATGATCTTGGGGCTGAGGCTCCGCAGTCGCTCGATCGTCTCATACTGGCCCTGGCAGGCTTTGACCTTCTCGGGGGAGCCCAGCGCATGCTTTAGCAGCACCAACCCCACCCGGAAGATGATCTTGACTCCTGCATGGGGGATGAGTAGTAAGTGCAATGGGGCTTTTGGGGGTTTCTCTGGAAAGAGAGGCCCCCCTGTGGGCTGCTGGGGACAGGGATGCTGCCCCCAAGACCAACCCAGTACCTTCACAGAAGAACATGTCCCAGACGCGCAGCACAGAGCTCCAGGGCAAGGTTCGGGAGAAGGCGCACATGAACCACTCTGTCATGTAGAGAAGCGGGTCGATCTTCTGCCGGCTGAGATGCTTGTGGGCCACTGGTGACACCTTCTGCAAGAGTGAGAAGAGGATCTCCCCATCCAGCTGGATCGCCTCCTGGGGAGACATCAAGGCCATGGGGCCATGACGGTGGGCAGCAGGAGCCAGGGCAGGGACTGTATCCCAGCACCCAGCAGGCTCAGGCAGCTTCTGCCTGCAGGGTGTCAGCCTCTGCAGCTAGGATAAGCTGATGAGCAAACCAGAGCCAGCTGGTCCCCTGGGGGAGCTTATCCTGAGAAGTGCACGTGAGCAAAAGCGGCTCAGGGAGGGGGAGGGGCTGAGTGCCCGCAGCAAGGAGGAGCAGGACTGCTCTGAAGCATGTGCTGGAGGCTCTTGCCTGTCAGGGTCAAGGAAGCTCCCTAAGGACTAAAAG